GGAGTGTAGGGGGAGGAGGGGAGAAGGGGAGGTCCTGGCACAGCCACTCTGTCACTGACACCTGGAACAAGTGCACTCAGAGAACCTGACCTTGGTCTATGAGATACTGTCCCCAACCCTACCCCACCCTTTCTGTCCCACTTCCCCACTGCGTTAGTGGAAGGCCAACATTAGCCCCCGCACAGCAGGGCTGCAGTGCCCAGAGGGACCTTAGCTATAAAGGTAGCTGCTGCTAGTGAAGACAGATATCTGTAAGGAGGAGCCGCTGCCTCGGAGCCCCTTAAGTCAAGAAAAGAAATAAAACGTGAAGGCTGAGGTCCCCTGGCTTTGGGGGAGGGAAACTTTCGAGTGCCAAAGTCCTTCTGACTTTGACCGCTAGAAAAGCTGAGGAGCCAGGTACCTGCGAAGCTGGTTGTGCCCAGAGGGCCCAACCGCCCTTGAATTGAGGGTGCCCCAAACCCAAGCCAAGGGCAGGAGGATGAGAGCGAAGAACGACCCCAATACGGGACGCTGTATAACTTGTCACATCCTGGAACCCTGTCACAAGCTTTGGAACCTTAACTGCATCCACTGCCCCCCGCCCCGCCCGGCTCCCCAGCCACCCGGCCCAGACCACCTGTCCGGAATCCCTCGGCATCCTATTTCTTCCCACTCTGGTCCACGAGTGGAGGTTCCCCAGATTCTCACTCGCTTTTCCACTGAGTCCCTCAGGCCCATTGAGTGCGCGTCTCCCGTAGATCCCTTTAAGGGACCACTGGCCCCTTGGTCTCTAGATACCTGGCAAATAGGTGTCTCCCACCCCAGGGAGCTGGACTCTTGACCCTGAACCCATCCACACTCCCTCCGGGAGACTTGGAGCCCAGCATATCCAAAGCCACAGGGCAGCTCGCTCCCACCCCACCCCCAACCCGAAGCCCTCCTGGCCCAGCCCAGCTGGGGAAGGCTCACCATCGTGGCCGCTCTCCTCGCCCGCTCGCCTCCCAGCTGTGTCTGCCCACCCCAACTGCTCCAGATACCGCCGCCTCCGTGGTTGTGACACACTGCGAGGGAGGGGGCCCACGACAGACATGTCGGGCCAGTAGCTACCCTGTAGCATCACAGTGCGCGACTAGGGGAGGGACTTGGGCAGGTCACAATGACACTTCCCCGCCCACCAGCATCTCAAATCTCCAGCGTGGTTCCAGGTCCAGCCCCCGCTGCTTCCCACGCTGGGAGGTTGGGAGCCGCAGCTGGGTTCCTAGGGGGGCGGGGGGAGGAGTTCCGTGGCGCACGTGTGCACACATACCCCGCATCTACTCCAACTTCAGCAAAGCTGTGGAAAAATCCTTAGAAACGAGACGTTCGTTTCTCCCCAGACGTTGTCTTTCCCTCTGCCAGCTGGCGAGGTAGGAAAGCACCGGTCATATTAAAGGGCAGACACCTCAGCCCAGGAGAGCCCAGAGGGTCAGGCAGGCAGACTTCAGGTTGAGGCCCATACTTGCACAACTCTGTTTTGTTTCCAGCACAGCAAACCTGTTACTGGAGAATTCTACACGGAAAGCTCTTGGTATACAGTAGGCACTCCATAATGCTTCCAGTACAGTTTTATTCATTTATTTTTGAGACGGTCTTATTATGTAGGCCAGACTGGCCATGATTTCACAGAGATACTCCTGCCTCTGCCTCCCTCCTCCTGACACCTGAGTGCTGGGATTAAAGTCAGTGCTGTTTTAAATACTGTCAAGAGTATCTCCCCTTGACCCATTCCTACCTGATTCCTTCCTACTTTCAAGCCCCAAATGTGCCCATGCTGCCTCTCCTACCTAGTCCAGAACAGGTATCAGAGTTCCCACTGCCTCTGCCCAGTAGGAGGACTTCCTGCTGTGCTTGGTTAAGGATGACAGGGAAGAGCAAGGGCCCTGCTTACTCCCCTCCAGTTGGGGAGAGGCAGGGACTTATGCCTGGCCTTAAGAGTTTCTGTGCTCTTCAGATGTTAGCCATATTTAACTGACCCCACATTCCCCTTTGTTTCCAGGCTGGGTGGGAGGTGAGGTGATGATTCTTGTGACTCTGCCTCAGCCTCACTCCAAGATTCCCTACCAGAAGCCACTTTGTGCTGGAAGATGTAACCCAGCTTTTCTTCTCTCTCTCTTCTCAAACAACTGACCACCACGCCAAGTCATTGCAGGCAAATGCAGAGCTCTTCCTCAGGAAATGCTTAGCACTGTGGTGACCAGATGTGGTGCCTCTCCCATTTCAAACATGGATCACGATGTACCTTCCTTTCTGTCCTTAGGAGCCAATCTCTGGCCATGAGAGTGAATGTATCTTCTTACATAAAGTTTTTTCTGTGAGCCACCCATTCATATATTTCTCTATTTATATGGGGTTCTTAAGGATAGAATACATATTTTAATTATTTTGATGTGAGAAGTACTGAGCACACTTCCCAATGATACACAGACTCCCGGCTGGGCCTGCCCACCCCAACTGCTCCAGATATTGCCACCTCCACGGTTGTGAAACACTGCAAGGGAGGGGGCCGGGGACAGACACACCAGGCTGGCAGCTGCCATGCCACATCATGGTGCCCACGGAGGGGGAGGGACTCAGGCAAGTCAAAATCTTATAATAACCTGAAAATTAAAAATCATAAATACAAACTCATGGCAAATGCTCAATAATGTTGTTAGTAATTCCACATTTCTCTTCCAGATTCCTATAGCATAGTCTATTACTTCTTCCATGCATTTATTACTATTTTATATAGTTTAGCTTATAGGTTGTGTATATGTGTTCAACAGTCCTACAAAATTGCAACACCTTAGGTGTGTTTTTCATCTTAGTGCCCACCCCACCAGAGGGCTCAGTGAATTCACTTGGATAAGTTGATTTTTCAAGTGGTCTTTGTAAACCACCAAATATATTATAAACAGGCTCTCAAATGTCTCAGGATAAACTTGGTGATATCAATAACAATGATTGTGTTTAATCATTATGATGATATCCTTTCCTAATATTTTATTTTTATGTGCATGAGTCTATTGCCTGCATATAAGAAAGTGTACCCATGTTGTACAACGCCCTCAGAAATCAGAGAAAGATGTCAGATCCCCTGAACTGGAGTCACAGATGGTTCTTAGCCACCATGTGGGTGCTGGGAACTGAACCTGGGTCCTTTGCAAGAGTAGCCAGTGCTTTTAACCAGTGAGCCATCTCTCCAGCCCTGATACTCTTTGTGTATGTGTGTATTGTCTGCATGTATGTAAGTGCCCTGTGTCATGCAATGCCTGCAGTGATCAGAAGAGGGTGTTAGATTCCCCTAGAACTGGAGTTACAGACAGCTGGTTGTTAGCTGCCATGTAGATGCTGGAAATAGAACCTGGGTCTTCTGCAAGAGCATTCAGTGCTCTTAACCACTGAGTTGTCTCTCCAGACCCCTTTCATTCCTTTTTCCCTTTCCTTCTTTTCAGTACTGAGAATACCAGGCTGGCCTTGAGCTCACAGAGATCTGCCTGCCTCTGCCTCCCAAGCAAGTGCTGAGACTATAGGTGTGCCCCACCACGCCTGACTTTTTTTTTTTTTTTTAAAGGAAGAGCTTATTTGAGCTTACAGTTCTAGGGGAATTACAGTCCATTTTGGCAGGGAGACATGGCAGCAGAGGTGGCTGGAGGAAGAGCAGTGGAAGCTAAGCTCTACATCTTCCAGCAGGCACAGGAAACGACAGAGCAACTGGATATCCAGCAAGGCTTAAGGACTCTCTAAGCCCACCCCCAGTGATGTGCTTCCTCCAGGATAGCCATACCTTCTAAGACCTCCCAAAATGCCATCATCTGGGGACAAAATGTCCAAATACTTGGAGCCTATGGGGGACATTTTTATTCAAACCATCACATTCTACCCCTTGGCCCCCATAGGCTTATGACCATATAAAAAATGTGGAGCTTATAGGGGACATTTTCATTCACACCACCACATTCCAGCCCTTGGCCCCCATAGGCTTATGACCATATAAAATGCAAAATGCATTTAGTCCGACTTTAAAAGTCCCCATAGTCAGGGGCTGGAGAGCTGGCTCAGCAGTTAAGAACACTGGTTGTTCTTGCAGAAGACCTGGATTTGAATCCCAGCACCCACATGGCAGCTAACAACTGTCTGTAACTCCAGTTCCAGGGGATCCGACAGCCTCTTCTGTCCTGTCTGTGCAACACACATCTCTCTCTTGGGCTGGTACCACTCCCTGTATGCAGGTCTTCTTGGCAGATACATCGCAGCTCTGGCATCACGAACATCTTCTTGGGGTCTCCATTGCCAACCAGGCTTCACCTTCACAGCTTCACGCAATGGCCTATCAGGGCCTTCTCTATGCAGGGGTACCCCTGCTCCATGCTGCCGGGCCTCAATGGCTCTCTGAAACTGTGGAGGAAGAACTGAAGAAATTGCATCTTTCATGCCTCTAAAGCCAGCACCATGTGAATGACACAAACAGTCAGTACTTTTAACCACTGAGCCATCTCTCCAGCCCTTTTGTAAAAAAAAAAAAAATTTTAATTTTTATGGGTATGAGTGTATGAGTATATTGCCTGCATATATGTAAGTGAACCCATGTCTTGCAATGCCTGCTGAGGTTAGAAGAGGGCATCAGATCCTTAGAACTGGAGTTATGGACAATTGTTAGCCACCATTTGAGTGCTGGGAACCAAACCTGGGTGTTCTGCAAGAACAGGAAGTGCTCTTAGCTGCTGAGCCATCTCTCCAGCCCCTGTGATGATATTCTCTCCCTTTTCTGGGATTTGAGGGAGTGAAGAATGTTGTATATGGAATTGTTCACCACCCCCCATTCCTGTGTAGAAGCCCTAACCCCCAATGTGGCTGTATTTGAAGATGGGACCTTTAAGATTAAGAATAAGAGCCTTAATCTAACAGGACTAGTGTCCTTATAAAAGGAAAACACTGTAGGAATACAGTTCACACAGGCCACATGAGGACACAGCAAGAAGGTGGCCATCTTTCACCTAGGAGAGAGGCCTCAGGAGAGTCCAACCTGCCTGCACCTGATCCTGGACCTTCAGCCCCCAGAAATAACTTTCTACCCTTCAAGTTGCCCAGTCTGTGGTACTTTGTTCTGGCAGTCTAAGCAGACCAACTTACTATAGAGTAAAAAGTGAGTGCTTCTTTTTGGTTTTTCAGCCCTCACTCTTAAAATTATTTGACCTGAGTAATTCCAGAATTTTTACTGATACTTCCCCCATCTCACCCCCTCCCCGCCCCCAAGCTTCCCTTGCAGAGTAGAAGTTTAGAAAGACAGAAGGATGTGTTTTTTCTCATCCCTATGAAATTTAATTTTTGTACAACACTTTAACTGGGTCACAAGGTGTCAAACATTTGAACGTGTCAGTGAGAGTGTTTCTGGATGAAATTAAAATCAAGTTAATCAGATGCCTTCCTCAACAGGGACAGGTCTCACCCAATTGACCGAAGGACAGAATAGAGTAAGAAAGCTAAGTTATGAGGGGACATCTGTCTCTGGCTGGAAGCTGAGACCTCGGTCCTTTCTTGCTTTTGGACTGGAGCATACACAAGCTCTCCTAAAGTCTCCAGTCTGCAGACTGCACATCTTAGGGCTTCTCATTTGCCATAACAGAATGGCTCAATCCTTTGTAGTAAATCTTTGTAGTAGTTCAGGGGTGAGCATCACCTGCCCAGGTGCAATGCCCTGGATTTGATCCCCAGCACTGCAAAAATAAATAAATCTTTTTAATCTATATCTGGACAGATAAACAGACATTTCCTATTTTTCTATTGTCATTTTTCTATTGACATTTCCTATTTTTCTGGAGAACTTAATGCAATCCCCTTTCTGCAAATGGAGAAATGAAGTCAAATCCAGATTGTTTATGAGAAAGCAACCACCCATACTGTATTTCAACAGCCTTCTAAAGGAATCACCTCCAACTGCACATGGCCTCCATGGTGCCAGTAAATGTGAGTCTATTTCTTCTGGTATGCATTTTTGTGCTGTGGGTTCATATTATTAAGTAGTATAATTACAGTGATGACCTAAAAGGTGAGTCACACTCATTTGAATAGGAGATAAGATAACTTGTATAGAGGAAGAGC